AGAGAGTGAGTGAGTGAGAGTAAAAGTGAGAGAGTAAGAGAGTGAGTGAGAGAGTAAGAGAGTGAGTGAGAGTGAGAGTAAAAGTGAGAGAGTAAGAGAGTGAGTGAGAGAGTAAGAGAGTGAGTGAGAGTGAGAGAGTGAGTGAGTTAGAGAGTGAGTGAGAAAGTAAGAGAGTTAGTTAGTAAGTGAGATTGAGAGAATGAGTGAGTCGAAAAACTATTTCTATCAAACAAAAAGAATCCCAGGAAGTATTTCTCAGCTGAGCAGTTCATAAAAATTCTCTCTGGGCATGTCATCCCTCTTAATGTATAAGTAATGCATCTCGGAACTGTATTAAATTGTTTTAAAATGCAAAAATAAGCTAAGCCACAAAATTTGAGTTTCTAGTTAGTTCTTTTCTTTTTTTTAAGGTTCACTAGAAACACTGACATTAGAAGAGAATTCGATGCATAAATTGACACCATTTCAATATCTTACTACTGTAAAGGCCAGTACTGTAGATATATTAAATATCTAAATTTTTGAAAAATATTTTCACCTCTATTGAAATGACAGTGATTGATGTACTTAACTAAATACTGGGTATTCTGCCTTGCCTTCAAAGAAACCGCAGGAAACTAAATGTAAATCTATCATTAATAACCAACATGCCAATGCATTGTGGTAAAAAGACCATGGATTCTGGAGTCAGAAAACCCAGGGTCTACCCGTTCAACACCAGAGAGGTCAAACTGGAAATCACAATACCTACTTAGGAATAGGTGAGTATGAGAATTCATATGAACATGCTAATAAAACAAAAGTCATCACTTTAAATCTATTTATCTGCCAATGGTAGATTGAAAAAAAATCTCAGTAATAAAATATTTCACTGACATTAAGCTCTACTGCGTAATAATAGCCCATCCCAAATAATAGGAACTAGCTATCAAGCATATTTTTTGTTTAAACCTCACAACAATCCTTTGAGACAGGAACTTTTATTTTCCACCTTTTACAGTTAACAAAATGGAGGCACCTTTCCTTCCTAAGGTCACACATCAAAGGTGTAACTGGGATTGGAACCCAGGTGCTGGATACCATGTCTGTGATCTTCTTAGTCACTGCACTCTCCTGCTTTAATTATTATATATTTGCCCTGAGTGCCAATGATTAAATTCCACTCTGGAAACACTTCATTTGGCCACTTACCTTACCTCTCCTTGCTTCAAGATAAGCTTGCTCTTGAAATAGCCTTTTCAATCCCTAACGGTACCCACATTGCCTAGAACATTGCTGTTAGGTGCCACCAAGCTCATTATGACTCATAATGACCCTATTTATAGTAGAATGAAACACTGCCCAGGTCTGCACCATCCTTCTAATCGTTATGTTTGAGCCCATTGGGGCAGCCAATGTGTCAATCCATCTCATTGAAGGTCTTTTTCTTTTTCTTAGAATATTAGCCACGTCAATTCCCTTGCTCACTTCTGAATTTCCGTATTAAGGTGACTTTTACGCAGACCTCACACGGGTAAAACCCTCTGCTATCAATTGAAATCCCTTATTGTCAAGACTGGATAAATAAACATAGACGAGAACATTTAGGCTCTCTGTTAAACAGTACACTTTGTATAAGACCAATACTTGGCAGGTGCTCAATTATTGTTCCATTCTCCTCTAAATAATAACCTAAACTCACTGCCATGCAGTTGATTGTGACTCACAGTGACTCTCCATGGCAGAGTAGAACTGTGGGTCTCTGAGACTGCACGTCTTTACAAGAGGAGAACACTTTGTCTTTCTCCCACAAAAACAACTGGTGGTTTTAGAACTCCTGTCCTGTGGTTTGGGAGCCCAATGTGTAACTCACTATACTATGCACCCTTGGAGGCTGTAAGACACACTAAAGGTTAAGAACCAAACAGAATTGAAACCAGGTAATGTCTGAGAAGTGACCTATTATAGTGGTGATAAAATAGACTTTGGGCTAAGCTACTTTTCATATCTGGTTTTGCCATTCAAAGGAGCCATGTTAGTACTGTAAGTGCTCAGCTGCTTGTTACGAGATTGGTAGTTCAAATCCACCACCTGTTCTTCAACAGAAAGATGTGCCAATCTGCTCTCGTAAAGATTACAGCTCAGCACTATGGGGCTGTACTACTCTGGCCTGTCAAGTTGCTAGGAGTTGCAATAGACTCACAGGTAGGCAACAGGCTTAATCCTCAATATTTGTGTGGCTTTGGGTAAGTCACACTTGAAATTGTGCTTTAGTGTCCTCATCTGTAAAACAGGGAAAGTGACATTAGTACCTGCATTATAGGCCTGTGAGTGTTAAGTGAGTTAATACATTCAAGGAATTAAAAGAGTTCATTGACTAGTTTCTTCTCCCTTCAATGGAATGCTCAAACTCTATCAAAACCTCACTGTAAGGCCTAGCAAACTTTTAATACCATATACTGATTATATCTTTGATGTCTGCCAGACACTTTCAAAATGTAGGGGGAGTTTCCAAAATTTCCCAGGATTCACACAGTACCTTTTTTCTTCTAGTTGTTTGTCCTTGTAGTTTAAGTAGTTAACACATCTGTGTTTCGATTTATCTCACTAATTTGGGTTTTACAAAAATCAATATTCTCTTACCTGCTCTCCATGGTATTGGTATTCCCTTCATTTAGAGGATAACTCCATAACTGAAATAGGTCTCGTTTACTATTCTGATAATATAAACATCATGATCATGATTTTAGAAACTGTGTGCATTAAAAAAAAAGCCTTTAAGAATATGATGAACACAATCTCACCTGTTTTCTTTTCTGAGCTTTCTCTGACAAACTAAGTTCCAGCATCAGTTGGTCTACTGGAATTTCCAAACGGTTCTATAAAGCAGCAGAAGATTTTTAAATACATTTCTGTTCCTTAATCTTGTTCTGATTTCTTGTTCTAAGCAAGATCCTCTGATATTTGCTTTTATACATACCGAAATTGTTAGCTCATTACTGATTTAATCTGAACTTAATAGAAACCATTATAAATACTGCCATCATTAACTAATAAGCCTTAATTATCATTAAGATTTTCTTTATTTTATTAAAAGAGTCCTGGTGGCACAGTGCTTACAGTGCTTGGCTGCAAACTGAAAGGTTGGCAGTTTGAAGCCATCATCCATTTCAAGGGAGAAAAGCTTTGTAATCTGCTTCTGCAAAGATTTACAGGCATGGAAACCCTTTGAGGCAGGTTCTATTCTGTACTATAGGTTTGCCGTGAGTCAGCATCAACTCAATGGCTTGTACATCAAGACATCTGATGGGCTAAGGATTCTTCCTTTAGGCAATGAATAGAAAACACTATAATCACTATTGTGTTAATTTCCAGCTACAATATTCTTATATGAACAAGCATGTAGCCTTTTGGCTCTCTGCATGACGCCATGGCGGTTGGCAATAACAAGCGCCTTACAAAAGGTGGCAAAAAAAGGAGCTAAGAAGAAAGTGGTTGATCCATTTGCTAAGAAAGACTGGTATGATGTAAAAGCACCAGCTATGTTCAATATAAGAAATATTGGGAAAACACTAGTCACCGGGACTCAAGGAACCAACATTGCATCTGACGGCCTCAAGAGTCGAGTTTTTGAAGTGAGCCTTGCTGATCTGCAAAATCATGAGGTTGCCTTTAGAAAATTTAAGTTAATGACTGAGAATGTTCAGGGCCAAAACTGCCTGACCAACTTCCATGGCATGGACCTCATGCGGGACAAGATGTGCTCCATGGTCAAGAAATGGCAGACCATGATTGAAGCTCATGCTGATGTCAAGACTACCGATGGGTATCCACTTAGTCTGTTCTGTGTTGGTTTTACTAAAAAACGCAGTAATCCGATTCGGAAGACCTCTTATGCTCAGCACCGGCAGGTCCGCCAAATCCGAAAGAAAATGATGGAAATCATGACCCGAGAGGTGCAGACAAAGGACTTGAAAGAAGCGGTCAATAAATTGATTCCAGACAGCACTGGGAAACACACTGAAAAGGCTTACCAGCCTATTTATCCTCTCCATGATGTGTTTGTCAGAAAAGTAAAGATGCTGAAAAAGCCCAAGTTTGAATTGGGAAAACTCATGGAGCTTCCTGGTGATGAAGGTGGCAGTTCTGGAAAAACTACTGGTGATGAGACAGGTGTAAAAGTGGAATGAGCTGATGGCCATGGGCCACCAGTTCAAGAATCTGTTTAAAACTCAGACTTAATGTTGACAAATAAAAGATCTTATTGTGAAAAAAAGCATGTAAACAAATATTGATTTGCAGCCTTATATACTAGTAAAGGTTGTAAGTTGTAGAAGAACTCTAAAGAAATAAAATTTAAACAACTAACAAAAGGAGGGGAAATTTTTTTCCCTTGAAAACAATCCGCTTTGTGAATTAAACAGCAAACATTTCTCCTTACCTTGTTAATTATGCCTGAAAGAATGTATGTGGGGAAAAAAGACAGTTAGTAGTTCCAAAGGACTGGTGTCATCCAAAAGAATCCCCGTTCATAGACTGATTCCAGCATGTATATGCATACGTAGGAGTTCTTACCACCTGATGCACCATTCCTTCCCGGTGGGAAGTTTTTATTTTCAGGAACAGTTACTTCTGAATCGAAACTCCAGTGAGGTAAGTTCTAAAACAATATTTGTTTCAAAGTAAGCTTAAAGTGAAGAACACAAGAGACCTAAGTATATAATTTTACATGTCTTTTGGGTCAACACCACAACAAAGCTCCCTGACCACTTTCTCTCTCCCAGGACCACCAGCCTCCCCCTGAGGAACATGCATTGTTCTCTTACTCAATTTGCTAACACTTACTAGTCAGGTAATGGAAAGGCTTTTACAATAACTTAGTGTCATTCTCATTTTGTTAAAAAATAGTGGTACATAGGCTTTCCAAAAGGCCCTGTGAGGTATGTACCTGGCATACAGGGACACATTGACCAAATTTGCTATACCTGAGTACTATATCTGAAAACTGAAATGAAAAAGGATAAACATAAAGAAAATTTAAAAATGATAAGAATACCTACTATTTATGTTCCTGACATTGTGCACATTGTACATAAGGTGGTGAGGGTGGGCAGAGAATGGAGTTGTGTTGATGTGTGGGAAGTATTGTAATAATCTATTATGGAAAATGGAAAGGGAGAGCGATTATATTATTTTAAAAAGCAGGGTTTTTTTTTTAGGAATGAACTCTGATATGTTCTATTCAAAGTGATGAAACCTTTTGAATATTGAACTCTAAAGCTACACACAAATGAAACCTTAGGTATCATCTCCACACTAAGAAAGAACTAAAAAAAACCCCACTGTCATTGAGTCCATGCCAACTCACATTGACCCTACTAGATTGAATAGAACTGCCTTTGTGGGTTTCCAAGACTGTAACGCTACTGGAATAGAAAGGTCCCCATCTTTCTCCCAGGGAGTGACTGGTGGTTTCGAACTGCTGACTTTTTGGTTAGCTGCCCAATTTGTAAGAGCTACACCACCCTTAAATACAGTATGAGGTTCTAAGGAAGTATCTCTTTTATAGTAAGTGCTGTTGATACGGGAAGGGATTAGCCAGGGAGAAGGCATGTTATCTTTTTCTGGAGGTAATTGAAAATCAAATCAAATCTCTGTAGTGTGTTCCTAGGATTAGTGTCACCCAGTACAGTAACCCATGGTATCACCCTACCCCCTTCTCTCCTTCCTCCCAGTATGGACCTCCTCCCATACCAGACCAGAGAACTGTGAGCAATGGGAGCTAGGTCTTCACAGTGGCTGCTGCTGCTGCTGGACATTAAATTCAATTACATTTGTCATACCTCGTGAGAGATGTTTGATATTTGTAGATTGGTGGCACAATTTTCACCATTTCCTCTGCACATTTTGTTGTAGTTGTTCCTCTGTTTCTTTAAAATCCTACACAGGTGGCAAGATAGGCACATTTATGGGTAAGATATATTTACATAAAAGCTTGATCTTTGGTTTCAGTTTAAAGAGGAGTTAAGAACCTACTTAGACAAAAAGATGGAAGCAGGGGAAGAAAGTGGGGGAGTGTAAGAATTAAAGACAACAGAAATAATTACTGTTAAATATACACTTCTGCAAGAGTGGTGATCTACAAGTTGATGCATGGATAGACATGCAGGCTGAGTAGCCTTGGGAGGGAGAGTGGGATTATACCCAGGAATATATAGAGGTTTGACAGCGAACATATGTACATGGGTATTTACTTTTGCTGCAACTATATCTACACAACCTTCTTAGACATAGCCAAATACTTTGAGGGACTGAGTGATGGTTCCTGGGGACTCAACCATGGTATTGAGGGGAACCAAGGTCAATTGGCATAACCTAGTTCACCAAGACATCCTATTTTGGGGAGTGTTTACTGGTGATTGTCTACTGGTATCTGTCTTAAAAGTTTGTTAGTGGCCATGTAAGGCACAGCTACTGGTCTCTCCCGGCTGGAGAAAGAAGAGTGAAGAAAATTGAAGACATTTGGAAACAATCGATCCAACTAATCACATGGACACCACTCTCCACAATGCTGACACCAGAAGAACTAGATAGTGCCCCTACCAAGCGCCTTGAAAGAAATCACATTAGAAAGTCCTAGATAGAATGGGAAAGAAATGTGAAATAAAGTGCAAAATCATAAAAAGGACCAGGCTTACTATTCAGACAGTGGTTGGTGGAAACCTTGACTAAAGCCTTTGGTCACCTTTCAGTCCAGAAATAAACCATGGCTCAATTTTCAGCCAACCAACCAATGCTATTACATTATGGATTGAATCAATGACATGAAACAAAATGTGTATGAACTGGTGAATGAAAAACTGATCTGCTCTGTAAACCTACACTCATTGCACCATAAAAAGTTTAAAAAGAAAAGCAAAGAGGAAATATGGGGCAGAGTGGGGTTATAATCTGAAACCAGCTGGACCAGACAAAATTAAATTGACAAAGAAATTGGAAAATTTGAAGGAAATTAAATAGACAAAAGAAAATGGAAAGGTAGACACCTAACTGAAGGAAAGAAGATGAGGGAATTAGAGTTAGAAATGAGAAGAATGTGTTATAAGAAGGGAGGAAGAAGCATAAATGTGATACCATGATGAATTAACTGGAATGTTCAAAAAATGTGGCCGCACGTTTCCCTTTTAATTATTCAAAACACATGCTTCATTAGAAAGCAAGGTTAACCTTAACTACGAGCACAGCAACTGTCTTATGCATGGTGGTTTTTTGTACACTGAAAGGCCCATGAGACTGGACAGTATTTTCCACATTAAACTGCCATGATGGTTGGTTAAAACCTTTAATATTGGTTAAACTACAAGTGTTCGTGATTAAAGTAAGGCATCCCCTCCTCCCCCCACCTCCATGAGTCAGAGTCAACAAGTTTGTATGTTTGTTTGTTTGTTTGGGGGTTACTTGTCTAGGAAGAACAACAAACAAATGCCATAACAGTAATTAGTATATTTGCTAAGCTCATACAATTTACCGTCTCTTGGGGAAAACATGTGTCCTGGAGAAATAAGAGTTAGAGGCCAGGTAGATTTGAATCAACAAGTACTGATGGACTGCCCTGTAAGGCAGGCATTGGGATGGAAAAAGAAGGAAGGCGCTTGTCTTTGTGAATGGGGAAAGGCGTTAAAGGAGGCAGCAGAACAGATGACAAATGTCCAGAAAAGAGAGGGTGGGGCACAAAGGCACCCACGGGGGTGCCCATTCCCTCCTAGGCTGCTGTTGGCCTCCATGGGCACCAGGATGGCTGGTGCAGTGGAGAGGCCCACTGGTGTCTCAGACCTCGCGGGGCAGCTGGCCTGGGAACACCCCAGCTCTGACCTCTTACCCCGCAGCACTGACCACCCACGTGTCTTCTCCAAGGGCGCCGCCGCCCTGAGGCCCCGGCCCGGGGGCCAGCTGGGCCATCGGCCGGAGGGGCGCCACGTCC